AGGGGAGGAGGAGGAGGAGGATGATGATGATGAGGAGGAGGAGGAGGAGGAGGAGGAGGAGGAGCAGGATGAGGAGGAGGAGGACGAGCAGGACGAGGAGGTGGAGGAGGAGGTGGGGGATGATGAGGAGGAGGAGGAGGACGAGGAGGGGCAGGAGCAGGAGGCAGGAGCAGGAGCAGGAGCAGCAACAGCAGGGGAATAAGGTACTGATGGGAGGCGACGGGAGGGGGGCAGGTGAGGGGAGAGGGGGTAGGGAGGAGGATGGGCAACACAAAGGGGGAACTGGAACAAGAAAGCACGGAGGAGGAGGAGGAGGAGGAGGAGGAGGAGGAGGAGGAGGTGGCGGGGGGAGGAGGGGACCGGGGAGAGAGGGGAGAAGGGGATGAGCGTGGCTGAGCCGAAGGAAGGCTGTGGAGGGAGAGGGGAGACGAAGATGAAGAAGGGAACGGGAAGGAGAAGGGAGAGGGATCGGGAGAGGGAATGGGCATGAACTGATATCAGAAGGAGGCGTTTCGATCGAATGCTCAAAGGGGCTGATCGTGGGACTGGCTGGGAGACTGGTGAGCAGTGCAGATGTTGAGGAGGGCTTGCGACGAATTTCCCAAGTTTGATTGTTCGGGGGTGGTTTTTCGCTGGCGGCACGCAAACAATCCGTGCACCACGTATGTGCAAGGCTGGGAGATGGCCCCCTGCTCGAAGAGCCTGCTAGTACTTGCCACACCGTGGTCATACGAAATCGATCGACTCGGAAGAATCCGCCACCGCGCCCCCTGGCGCGTTGAGGCATGTCAGAATGCCAAGCACTGCCTGGTAGGATGCCTGTGCATCTTCAGGCCTGCGCGCCCACGCGCAATTTCATGGCGTGAGTGTAGCTCCCTCGCCCCCCTGGGCTCGTGTCCTCTCTTGGCGGACCCTTGCACCTGGTCTTGCGCTGAGCCGACAGACGACGCTGCATGTTTTACCCTCACCCTTGTCTCACGGGCTTCATGTTCGGCTCCCCCCTCGTGTTCGCCCTGCACTTCGCCTTCGTCTCTGGCCCGCCCATGATGACTGAGCAATCTGAGGGTGCCCTGCAACGTTCATTGAACAGGGCAAAACAATGAAACAAAAACAGCTAAAGCCACGCCCTCTGGACGCCCCTGCCCCAACAGCCTGGCCGCCATCCCGGCGAAGGATCCCTCGCGAGTGGGAGTGCTGGTCCGAGCCTGCGCCTCGGTGGTGGGGGGGCCGTGCTGCCAGGAGCTGGCCGAGCCCCTTGGACCGGGAGGAGGAGGAGGAGGAGGAGGAGGAGGAGAAGGAGGAGGAGGAGGAGGAGGAGGCGGAGGAGGAGGAGGAGGTGGAAGAGGAGGAGGAGGAGGAGAAGGAGGAGGAGGAGGAGGAAGCGGAGGAGGAGGAGGTGGGAGGAGGAGGAGGAGGAGGAGGAGGAGGCGGAGGAGGAGGAGGAGGAGGAGGAGAGAGGACGCGCCCTGCGCCCGCCGGGCTGTGCCCTGTGCCTCGGCGCGCCACGCCGCTGCTCGGCCGCCGCCGCTGCTCTCTCGCGGCCGCTGGCTGGCCGGGGAACGTCTCTTCGAGGGCGAATTCTCTACGAAGTTTGGGTCAGAGCACACCCCGCGTGCGACCACTGGCTTAGTGGGCGGCTTGAGGCGACTATCGGGCAGGGCGTTGGCCCCGGCGGTCGAGGAGCAAAAGCGGCACAGCAATCCTCGGAGCGTCGCGCCGATGTCCTGGATTCTCGGAGCGTCGCGCGGATTTCCTGGATCGCGCTCCGCGGAGCGCGAGGGCGCGAGCCCCTATCGCGCTTGCGCGCCGCCCCCCTCCGGGACCACGGGAGGAGGGACACCTCGCGCGGAGCTCGCACGGGCCGCGAAGAGCGGCGGACCTCGCACCCTCGCGGCGGCCCCCAGGACTCGGAGGAGCATCCTCCCAGGGGTGGGCCAAAGCGGTGTTCTGGCGATGTCGTGGGCCGTTCCCGCTCCGGTGTCGCTCTGCAGCAGCGGCGAACTCGAGACAGAACGAGGGACAACGACAACGAAACGAGAAGGAAAAACACTGTTTAGGTCCAGCCCTGCCTCGCCCCCGCCGGACCGCGCAGCCTGCCCAGGACCGGCGTGGCGGCGCGCAGGGCTATGACTCGGCGGCACCCCAACATACCAACACTGTGTGTGCGTCGCCCCCGCGAGGGCGGCGCGAACACCGAGAAATCTTCTAGTACACGCGTCGTGGCGGGCGTCGTGGTCCAGCCCTGTATCTTCTTCCCTGGCCACGCGGGCCCCTCGAGGGCCACGGCTGCCCAACAGGGGAAGGGGGCGGCGTCGAGCGGGAGGCCCGCCTCTGTGGTTGCCCGCCTGGCTCTCTCCACCCGGGCTGTGGTCGTGGCCGCAGCGTGGCTCGCGGCGCCTTCCAGGAGGAGGGCTGAGGAGGAGTAGGGATGATGATGATGCTGATGATGATGATGATGATGATGATGATGATGATGATGATGATGCTGATGATGATGATGATGACGAGGAGGAGGATGAGGATGAGGAGGAGGAGAGAGGAGGAGGGGGAGGAGGAGGGAGGAGGGAGGAGGAGGAGGAGGAGGAGGAGGAGAGGAGGAGGAGGAGGAGGAGGAGAGGGAGGAGGAGGAGGAGGAGGAGGAGAAGGACGAGGAGAAGGAGGGATGACGGAGGAGGGAGGAGCAGGAGGAGGAAGAGGAGGGATGATGATGATGATGATGATGATGCTGATGATACTGATGATGCTGATGATGATGATGATGAGAATGACGATGATGATGCTGATGTTGTTGTTGATGATGATGATGCTGATGCTGATGCTGCTGATGATGATGATGATGCTGATGCTGATGCTGATGCTGATGATGATGATTATGATGATGGTGCTGACGATGATGATGATGATGATGATGATGATGCTGATGATGATGATGATGATGATGATGATGATGATGACAATGACGATGATGATGATGATGATGATGATGATGATGATGTTGTTGATGATGATGATGTTGACGACGAGATGATGATGATGATGATGATGATGATGGTGATGGTGATGATGACGATGATGATGGTGATGATGATGATGATGATGAGGAGGAGGAGGAGGATAAGGAGGGGAGGAGGAAGAGGAGAGGAGAGAGGAGGAGGAGGTGGAGGAAGCGAGGAGAGGAGGGAGGAGGAGGAGGAGGGAGGAGCAGGAGGAGGAGGAGTGAGGAGGGAGAGCAGGAGAGGAGGAGGGATGATAATGATGATGATGATGATGATGATGAATGATGATGATGATGATGATGATGATGATGATGATGATGATGATGAGATGATGATGAGAAGGAGGAGGAGAGGAGGCGAGGAGGAGGAGGAGAGGAGGCGGAGGAGGAGGAGAGGAGGAGCAGGCGGGAGGAGCGAAAGAGAGGAGGAGAGGAGGAGGAGGAGGAGGAGGATGAGCATGAGAGCATGAGGAGGAGGAAGAGGAGGAGGAGGAGGAGGAGGAGGAGGCGGAGGAGGAGGAGGAGGAGGAGGAGTTCTCTCCCGAGACTCCCTGGGCGGCACGCCGCTTCCTCGAACTCTCCTCAGGCTCTCCAGGGCTCCCGAGGCGGCCCAGGCCGTCCGCCGAGGCCGCTCCTGGGGTCGGATGCGGCTCCGAGGACGACCCAATAGCTCCCAAGAAGGCCCCTCAAGGGCACCCAAGAGGCCCCGAGAGGATTCCAAGACGTCCCCAGGGCGCCCTCCAGGAGGGGCTTCGGAGTCCAGACACGTGCACGCTCCTCATGTATGCTTCCAGTGCGTTCCGCTGTCCACGCGGCTCAGTCGAAGATCGCTCCACCGGCGGTCGTCGAAAGCCCCAACGTGCTGACCGAGAGCCCCAAGAAGTCCCCTGAGTAGGCGGCCCGAAGTGAACCCCAGGCTGGCCCGAGAGGACCGCCTGAGGGACCCAAGGCCACAGAGGGCCCCAGGACGGCCGCAGTGGCCCCGAGACGACCCAAGGAGGAGGAGGAGGAGGAGGAGGAGAAGGAGGAGGAGGAGGAGGAGGAGGAGGAGGAGGAGGAGGAGGAGGAGGAGGGGCTCCAGACGGCGCACGAAGGCCCCACGGCGACCGAAGAGGGCCCCACGGGATCCCACGGGCCCTCCAGGGCTGCCCCACGGAAGCCACGGGCGGCCCCGCGGCGTCCCGAAGATCCTCCCCTTGATTACCAGCCTCGGACGTATCCCTATCCCTGAGATCGACACGCCAAAAGGCGATGCCAATCTTGGGGATTCGCCTTCAAAAAATAAGGGAATCCCTAAGATTGGCATCGTGATGAGGAGGTGCCCAGCATAGGGATAGGGATATGTTCCATGTTGGTAACTTGAGAGCTCCTCAATAAGTTAAGACCCAGAAGTGACACATGCGAGGGCCTTCTGGACGGTGCTCGGAGGCAGAGCGTTTGGCTGGCACGGTGGCGGAAATGCCGCAGGCACCTGAATCCTCTGCTTCGGCATCACGCCGATCAGACGTCATCCACTCCCGCCAACGAGCTGTGATCCATTGATCCGCGATGCTGAAATTCATCTGGTCCACGTCCGGCTCCGGAGTGTTCGTCAACGATGCGAAGAGCCGCACGTTGCGCCTCTGCTTCAGGTTGGCGTGGTCAGTGCCTCGGCACTCCGTCTCCTCGCCCCCGTGCCAGGAGCTGCAGTGCTGAGCCGAGGGCGCCGACCCCACAGGCCCTGGAGGAGCTGCGTCTTCGGCTGGGGACTGACGCTTCGGAGGTGGATCCCACGGAGCAGCGGGCGGGGGGGCCTCGGGCAGGTGCACGGGAGCATCCCCACGTGGCGAGTCGAGCAAGAGCTCGTCGAAGGTGCCAGCCCACCCATCGCGCTTGGTCAAGAAGAACGTCAGGTTAAACAAGGCCTTGATGCTCGCAGCAACGGAGGTGAGCTCGAACTGGGACGTGTTCGTGGGCCCCTTCCTGGGCTCCTGGAAGACCACCCCCTCGCCCACCCACGGCGAGATCAGCATGGCTCGGCGGCGTGCCCAACGGGGGAAGGCAGAAAGGACCCGGCCTCCTCAGAAAGGCGGCGGGGCTTCTCAGAAGCCCTCCCGCCTTCTGAGAAGCCTCCTGAGCCTTCTGCGAAGCCGCAGGCGGTTTCCCAGCCCAGCAGGCTTGAGGGTTTCTGAGAAGCCCCATCGCCTTCCGAGAAGGCTGGCCCTGCCCTGGGGAAGCAACAAGACACCGTCACCGCCACTCCCCAGGCCTTTCTTGGGACGCGTCCTGACCCAGAAAGGCCTGGAGTATGGCACAGGTACCTTTGGAGTCCCGAAACGGTGCGGTGATAGACCGTGCGGTGACCTCGAACCCCCCCAAGACCTCACCGCACGGTCCGTCACCGCACGGTCTTGGGACCCCGGAGGCCCCTGTCGCCCGAGACATCCTCGGGGAACGACCCGAGTCCCAAGACCGTGCGGTGACCCCGAATCCCCACCGACTCACCGCACGGTGTGGTCACCGTCCCGTTTGGGGGCCCCCGAGTACCGCAAGGCCCTGCCACCGCGTGCTGGCGCCACCGGGGCACCGCCCGTCACAGCCAGCCGCAGCTGCCCGTACCGGTGCCGCGCGCTTCTGATGCCGGGCCGCACCGTGCCGCACCGTGGCCGCCACGTGGGGATGTGCAGCCTGACCACGAGTCCCAAGCGAAGCCAAGCGTGGCGGCTAGAGTTCAGTCGGGCGCGTCCCCCTAACAGGGGGATTTTGGGGCAAAAACAAAAAAGATGCTCAGAAAATGCCCCCCAAATGCTCAAGAATAGTCAACACATCGTCCCTAGACTATTTTTTTACTATTCTTGAGTATTCCCCCTGTAGAGGGACAGGCCCGACTTATAAGGCTCCTGTGTTTCATCCTGAGTCGTTCTTTGACAGTCCTGGGGCCCGGCGAGGGCCCCCAGAGGTCGAAAATTACGAAACACCTCCGGCTCGATTTTTCCAATGCGTTGGACCTCTGGGCCTTCCGTCCGCTCGGCGCGTATTTGGCGCGCCCAGGCCAGGTTGGCGCGCGTTTGGCGCGCGCATAATCATCTGCTCTCGCGCGCATTTGGCATGTCGCTCTAGTTTTCCTTGCCCACGCGCTTTTGGCATATGGCTGCTTCCTGCGTTGGGTCTCTGGGGATCCCTCCCGACCAAGAGTCCCCAAGCGAAGCCCGCCGTGGCGGCTACAGCGAACTGGGCAGCGGCAGCGGCAGCTTCTGTCCTCCATGCGCCGCTGGGCTCTGGGCAGGGTGGCTTCCGGATCCCAGACAACCGACGTCTTACCAGCCTGGAGCATATCCCTATCCCTATGTTGGGCACCTCCTCATCACGATGCAAATCTTAGGGATTCCCTTATTTTTTGAAGGCGAATCCCTAAGATTTTCATCGCCTTTTGGTGTGTCGATCTTAGGGATAGGGATACGTTCGAGGCTGGTGAACGTCCTGATTTTGTTCAGGACTGCGTCCCCAGAAGCCCCGACCCTTTCCCCGGGGCCGTTTTTCCATCCCGAGTCGTTTCCTGACGCTCCTGGGGCCCGGCGAGGGCCCCCCTGGGCCGAAAAAGTGAAAAACCTCCCGCCGTGATCTCTGGACCGACTCTTTTTCCAACGACCGATCGCGCCGCCCTGATCTTCGAACGGCGCGAGAACCCTCCCGCCGTCCCGACCTCTCAACGACGCGATCAAGTCTGGGGTCCCACCTCGTCGGGGATCTTCTGACCCGGGTCAATCCAGACCCGGATCAGCAGGAAACCAAAAAACTGCAATGCAGAAAACAAAAGCTGCAACGCAGGCGTTCGCAAACTTGGATCAGCCAATATGCGCGGCCGCCTCGCGGCCACAAGCGGATCAATGACCCGTGTCAGCCAGAGGAGGTCTTCGCAGGATCCTGCAAGATCTGGCGCTCTGGCTGACCCCCGTTTGCGTTGACCCCCGTCTCAAGGGTCCCACCTCGGGCCTCCGTCGGCCCCCCGGGGCCGAAAACAGTGAAAAACCTCCCGCCGTGATCTCTGGACCGACTCTTTTTCCAACGACCGATCGCGCCGCCCTGATCGTCGAACGGCGCGAGAACCCTCCCGCCGCCCCGACCTCTCAACGACGCGATCGAGTCTGGGGGCCCACCTCGGGCCTCCGCCGGCCGTCCGGGGCGATGCATGCGGGCACTCCCGGAACGCCCCCGCGAGGTGGCGCAGCTGCCGGGAGGCACCCCCGGGGCAGGGCCGACGAGCACGCCCGCAGGCCCGGCGCCGCGAGCCTCCCTGGCAGCCGCGGCGGCCCACGGAGGTCCCGAGCAGCTCCCCTTGGGCCAGGTCGGGCAGGTCCCCCAGGGCGGGCAGATCTCGGAGGGCGAGCGGAGAGTCGTCGAGCCAGGCCTGAAAGTTGCCAGGCAGATGTAACAGGGAAGTCGTCCCCGGACTAGATTTCGGGGGCCACATCCTTGTTCCTCATTAGAATATACCCCCACCTACCTCGTATTCCGGCCGATAGCGACCCAATCCGGGACCTCCCATCCGGACTGTAAAAAATCAATACAAAGTGGCCGTTTTTCTTCTCAACATAGTCTTTCTTGTCGTCGACGATGCGAAAAACGTGGCAAGGAATGGGACGCGGCGCACATCGCGCGCGGCAGTCAATCTGGGCCCGCCCATTTTGACTGTAACAAATCTATACAAAGTCTCCGTTTTTCTTCTCAGATGGCCTCCCTTGTCGCCGACGGTGCGAAATATGTGGCAGCAGCGGGACGCGGCGCACATATGGGACGCGGCGCACATCGCGCGCGCGGCCGTCAATCCGGGCCCGCCCATCCGGACTGTAGACAATCAATACAAAGTCTCCGTTTTGTTCCTCTCAGATGGCCTCCCTTGTCGCCAACTGTGCGAAATATGAAGCAGGAATGGGACGCGGCGCACATCGCGCGCGGACGTCCATGCGGGCCACGGGCCTTCCCATCCTGATTGTAAAAAAAACATTGCCGAGTTGCCGTTTTTCCTTTCATCATGGCCTGTCTTGTCGTCGACGATGCGAAATGCGTGGCAGGAATGGGGCGCGGCGCACAGCGCGCGCCGACTTCTGGGGCAACCCCAAGGCCGGAGGGGCCACCTTACTTGTCAGAAGCAATGCCATGCTGATTTTCCGTGCCCGCAGCTGTTCTTGTCGTCCACCCCGCAGAAGTGCATGGCAAAAGTTGGGCGCGGCACACACCCCTCTCCCCCCGCTCGAAAAGAATGAAATGACCTTCCCGCTTGGGCGCCGAGCGACATTTTCTCAAAGTTGCACTCCCGCTTTGGCTCGGCGCACGTTTCTAGCTCGCCAATTCATTGGGCGCCGGGGCGTTCCAGGAGGCCCTGGGGTGACGAATACCTGGGAGGTTTTTGCTTGTTCAGGCTCTTGGAGGGCCTCGAGAGGCTCCCCGCGGTTTCTTGGCGGCGTCTTCGGCCGTCTGGAGGCCATCTTGGGCGTCTTGGTACGATCTTTCGGCGACTCAGGGCCCCTCGGATCGTCTCGGGGGCGTCTCGGCTCTCTTGGGGCGTTCCTGGGGCGCTCTGGGACCTGGAAGTCAGCGCCGAAGAAGAAAACCATCGTTGGGACCGACGTGCCCAGGACCTGCTCGGGGTTCTTTTCGTCTGGGGGCCCCCAGGGACCGCCCCGCGCGTGCAAACTAGAAGATTGTTAACTAGTTACCACCGGAGATCTTAGCACGCCTCTGGCCCGTGGGGATGGCCCGGGACTTGCGCATATGGGGCGCGGCGCACATCGCGCGCGGGGAACGTCTAGCCGCCCACGGTATAAGATAAACGACGGGGGTCGGACGCGACGCGCTTGCTTCTCATGTTGTGGGAGGGCGGGTGGGAGTGGACGGAGCCCTCTCGCTCGTTCGAGCTGGCTAACTTGACGCGAACCCTACCCCTACCCCCCACGATTTCTGAGGGGGAGGGTGGGGTTCACTTCGCTCGGGAGCTCCCGAACGAAGTGAACCCCACCCTCCCCCTCAGAAATCGTGGGGGGTAGGGGAAGGGTTCGCATGTGGCCCCCTACTATGTTTTACGATTTTGGAATGTTCCTCCTGTAGAGGGACGCGGCGAGCGCGGGTTGGCAGTGAGAAGGAGAAGGCCTTCTCAGAAGGTTCGGAAGTCCCCTGGCCTCCTGAGAAGTTTCCCAAGCTTTCCCCGAGGACAAACGACAACTTCTCAGAGGGCGCGAGGGCTTCTGAGAAGTCTTCGTTGTCCTGGGACAGGCCCGACGTCACCCCTGGGGAGAGGCAGCCTCTCGCCGCCGCGTCTTGTTTCTTCTCCCGCGGGGCCCATGGCAGGGCCCGGCAGCGGGCCCCCGCGGCCGCGACATCGAGGCACAGCTGTTTGTTTATGCTGTCGCTGTTTTGGTTTGCGTTTTTCATTTGTTTGTTGTTGGTGTTGGTGTTGGTGTTGTTGTTGGTGGTGTTGTTGCTGTTGTTATTGTGATGTTTGGTGTGTTGTTGGTGTCGTTGTTGTTACGGTTGTTGTCGTTGTCGTTGTCGTTGTCGTTGTTGTTGTTGTCGTTGTCGTTGTCGTTGTCGTTGTTGTTGCTGTTGTTGTTGTTGTTGTTGGTGGTGTTGTTGTTGTTGTTGTTGTTGTTGTTGTTGTTGTTGTTGTTGTTGTTGTTGTTGTTGTTGTTGTTGTTGTTGTTGTTCATGGTTTCATTATTGCATCAAGGCTCAGGCAAAACGGCTTCCACCATCACGGTGTGAGGGGCAACGATAGGATGCATCGACCTGGGATCGACGATACCTCGCCGACACATCGGCGATGGGCTCCCCATCGTGGATCCGCACCTGCCTGGGCGGGGTGGGGCTATCGTATCGGGTCCCTATCGGCAATCGATGGGCGATTGGGGCTTGAAGCGCTCTTGGGAGCCTTGGGAGCGCTCTTGGAGCCCTCTTGGGCCATCGTGGAGCCATCTCGAAGCCTCGGATGGCCATCGGAAGCGAAAAGGCGAGAAAGCCAAAAACATTGAT